GTGTAGCTCCGTTTTTAAAAGTTATTAGGGGGTTCATGTTTTCTATGATTGACACCCGATACAGCCTATGGGCGTTCAGGGATTGCGTAGCTCTCCCGGGGGATACGCTGTTTGAGCCGAGCGTCATCACAGCGACTCTCGGCGACTGCGCGGCCGAATGCGCGCATTGCTACTGCGCAGCGCTGGTTTCAGTAAATGAAGAAAAATCCTGGAAATACTTAGAGCTTTTTGGCTTCAAATCCGTATACAGGCGGTAGGCAGAACCAAGTTGTCCATAGTATATACAGTCTATGTTTACAACACAATGCACTAAAAAAGCTGATACGAGGCTACTTACCAGTCAACATTAGGTCTAGGTCTTATAGAAGCTCTTATATGTAATGTATTTGTTGCCTATTAGTAAGTGTGTTTTAATGTACAAGCTGCCTAAAGAAAATTGTCCTTAGTGGGATTGATTTCAGCCCGGTAATGGCAGACAGATGTCTGCTAACAAGTCTGGTTCTGTTTGAGGTTTCTGCCTGTTAAAGAGAACCTTTTTTTCTCTCTGTGATTGCCAAACATCAATCAATAATTGGTCATTGTGGGTTTGTGATCTGATTCTGTAAGTAGTGAAGAGTCTAGACCTTCAACTTTTGTTGTGACTGCTAAATAGATTGATTAAGTAGTTTGATTGATTCATTTGCATGTCCTGTATAAAACAATCATAACCAAAGGGCTTGATTTAAGTGGGATCTTTTATACCTGCTGCAAAGAAACTGGATAAACCTCATGACTGTAGAAATGCAAAAATAACCAGTACAACAACAATTCTCCCTGGCTTTGTCATTTTCTACTGTAACTGACTGACAAAACAAACAAGAACAAGAAGGAACAAGCTTCAAAAATCATCTACTTCTTTGAATGGAAAACTCCTGGAGCCCAGATGAAGGTTTTTCTCTTTTTTCTTTCCCTCTTTTGCAATTTTTTTTTTGTTGGAAGCATTTGCATATTCCAAAAGTCTACCAAAGAAAATAGCCTGGAGGCAGAAATGGACCGATCTGCATATTGAAGACTCAACAGAGGGCAAAGAGAGGAAGACAGACAGAGGGGGGAAAGAGAGAGGGAGAAGGAGAGGAAGTGTCTGCGTAAATGATTAGAAGAGGATCTAAAAGACACAATAATGCCAATTAGCTGATGGTGTCTTGTTTATTGTGCTGGATTCAACTACTACAGATCCTTGGCTTAGCTGTCAGGGCGTTTTAAGGAGAGAGAGGCAGAGAGCGGGGAGAAAAATGTGCATCATAAGAAGGCCTCTTCACCCAGCTTCCTTCATGAATAACAAATAGAGAGGCAGCACTGTGACCAGCCAGCACAACACATGAAAAACATTACTGCATTCCCCGACTCGTCTGGTTTCTTACATTGTGCTGCAAGGCTTGTAACACTGAGCTGCTTTTGTACAGCTCCTTTATTTTACTGAGTTTTACCGACAACAGATCAACTTTAATGGACCATGGAATAAAAAAAAAAAAAAACTTTTACTATTTTTCTACATTGTAAAAATCTTGAAACAATCACTTATTAATCAGTTATAACTAAATGATCACTTTTGAGCCCAGATTAATCTCCAAATATTCACTTAACTTCAAGTGTCAAATAGTGGTAAGTCATTAATAACCTACAAAGCTGGAAAATAAATGTGCCCATGTGAATGAAGCTTTTTACAAGACATTAAAACTTTTACTAAAACTGTATATGCAGGTATAGAAATGGTGTTTACTTTAAAGCTCCTGTGAGGAACTTTCAGTTTTAGCCAAATTTGGCGCCCCCTGTGGGAAGAGATTAACATCATATCACTTTGCTGATCTGTTAATAAACATGCTAAAGTTGTTTATTTACTAAGAAAGTCTCAATCTTGTTTTTTTAACCGTCAAATGTGTCTCTTATTGTGAATGTTTGCTGCTTAAAATGTAAAGCTGTATTCTTAAGCATGCTTGTCTGACACCTACCCCCTAACAGCAGTCTTACACATTAAAAATCACAATATAGGAATCATCAGTCTTGCTGCTGATGGTCTCATTTGCTTTTAAAAGTCGTAGACAAAGCTTCGAACCTTTTGAAAACTCACCACAGGAGCTTTAAGTACCACAAGAAGGAAAACTCTGCTTATAGGAAAATCCATCTGTGTGATAATTTATGTTGTAGTATTTTAATAAAATTGGCAAATAAAGTCAAGTAACTTTACTGACACAGCAGGTAACATTCATATTTAATTGATTTATTTAATAAAATTGTAAAATTTTAATCCAAATGTAGCATGTTGTTGTTGACTTCTATCTGTGCTGTTTTAAAACTGTGAGATTTATTTATTTTTCTACTGTGACCTGCCTCAGACTCTATTAAATTATCTTCAAGGTTAAACTCTGATATAATGCATTGAATAGTGACATTCATGTTCAAAATACTACATGATCCCTTAACATATAAAATGTATTGAACTGATAAGAACAAACTAATATTTCAGTTCAAACCCAGATTAAATGTTATTCATCTCACTCTGCAAAGACACTCAGGTTCTCATAATTCTGTAGTGTTTTGAAAACATTTGCTTCTGACTTGTTCTGAATCAAGTTAAAGTCTTAACACTGAAGTACCTCAAAGTTTAAAGTAAGTGGTTCTATAAAGGCTGTCTCATCATCATCAATAAAACCACCACTTTCAGCTTTTGCCTTCAGGACAAAATTACAGAATACCTTGTGCAGAGAAAAAAATGTCCATGAAAAAAAAAGTTCATTCTAGTTTCTAAAAAATACTTCAATGAGCGATGCACTTTAATTCCAGCCTGCTGTCTCATTCTGCACAGTGCCCCTGATACTGTCACTCTATTGAGCTGGTCTCCTCTTTTAATAAAACTGTTTTGTGTCTGTTTTTTATCAGGAATATGTTGAAGTGTGTAAGTGTGTTTATTGTATTGCCTTGCATAATGTGTTAGCGCATGTTTTTGATGGCAAATGTTTGCCCATGCAAATCAATATACTTGCAAAAAGTAGACAATTAACTTTAATTCTATTCTCTTTTATTTCTCCAGCTCAGAAACATTATCATAAAAACAAGTCAGCTCGACTAAATGTGGGGTTTAAAAAGCCTAACTTAACAGTCTTTTCAACCTGTTTAGGGGGGAGTTGTTGCACACTAATTACAGATATATAAACTGCATTAACACAACTTGTTTACTGTATGTTGTAGAAATACACACAATAGAATGCAGCTGTACTTTAGAGAGAATTATGTTCGCTCTGGAGTTGGAGGTGCTGTAAGGGGGAACGCAAAATCTCCACTTTCATCCCCCACCACCGAGCTGACTCCAACAGCCGAGATCACAACAAAAACTCAAAACTGCTAATTCCTCTCAATTGTGAGGTGCTAATATCAGTTATGAAACACATTTAAACAAACTCCCAATCCTCCAGCACATAAAGACAATGTAAGTGTCCAAGTGAGCAGAAAGGAAAGACAAAAACACATCCAGAGACTAAAAACAAGCTCAATATTTGTGGGTCTCCTGTGGTTATGAAACTATCAGCTTTTCACTGCCCTTAAAGTTGCTGGTTCACATTTCTAACCACCAAGTGTTATGCTGGAGTAAAAAAAATCATCCAAGATGTTCAAAATTCTTTCAAAAATTCATTTATTCCACTTAAAGCCAAAGGTTTCAACTTTTAAACTTTTTTTTCCAAGTTACTGGAAAATTTGTTTATTCTTTTAGCCGGTGTAAAACGGCACTTTTAACTTTTTGAACCACTTAAATAATTCAAGAACAAAGCAGTAAAAATTGTGTTTTATTCCTTGCACATGCAGCATTTTGCCGTGGAATTGATTTTGTTATAGAACCTGTTCTGGTAGCATTAGTTTGGCTGAGTCGTGCGTCTATGTGCGCATGTGTCACGGTGCTCATCCGAACCCTGGAAAAAGTCGTTCTAAAGGTACACAACAGTTGTTTATAACTGTGTTTCTCTGTGAATCTGATGTAAATTTATTTGCAACTGAAGCCATTTTAAGAGCGTCAATACAGCTTGAATATAAAAGAGATCCACGACAACAAAAACATACTTTCCTCACAAATCCTCAAGCACATGATTATTTATAAAATTGCGTAACTTTTCCAAAACTTTGTATAAATATCGCCATGAACACGTTGTAGGTGAGGGTGCATTTGAATGCTGTGATAAAAGTCTGTTTCACTTGCAGATTGGGAAAGCACATTTCCTCTGACCATTTATCTTTTACCTTTTGGAAACGATCCAAGACAAATCCGCTGAAAAACATAAATTAGCACATTTATGAGGCTGCACCTGGTCTCTCCTCTGCTCACAAAACTTCTTTCGTCTCAGTCGATGCTTTACTCTGTGAAGGCCTTGAAATCCGAGGTGAAACCCCCTCAAAAGTCGTTCATTTAACAGGCTGTCCGTGATTTGGCCAGCGTGAAAAGAGCCCACCAAAGGCAGCTTGTTTTTCGAGGATGTAAATATCGAAATGCTGAGTGGTTTGGTGCACTATGGTTCAGCGCGCTCAGTGCGGTGCGTCACGCCACTGTGGCCTTTCCTTTACCATGAGAAAAGCGGAGCGCATTAACATGCAAGAGGCGTACAAACCTCCTATACCCAAAGAAGACTTAAGGATCCTTGACATGGGCCTCGGCTGCTGTTAATATTAAAGAGATAGTATACAAATACAGCTACAGTAGTATCCTGTTCTTTGTGGATTGGAACAATATTTTCGGTTTTTAATAACTCTTTTTAAAAAGTATAAAACGTGAGATAAACTGAATTAATCCACGTGTATTTTCTATACTTGTGAGGTTTGCTTTGTTTCGAAATTTCTTCCCATGTCTGTCAGTATAGGTTTACTTTGCGTTTCCACAAAGATACACGAACACTGCTCTGTGTCTGTGTCTGTTTTTGAAATGTTGAATATTTCCAAGCTCATTGTGGCTTTTTCCCCTGCAGCTATAACTTTTGTTCACTCGAGGCTCGAATGAGCCGCACACACTCCTCTCCGCCTGTGCGTCCAATCAGCGGGAGCTCTGCAGCGCCTTTCTGCTCTAATTGGATGGAGATGGGAGAGGAATACGCAGCTTTGTCACAACGTAAACACACACGCTCGTCTCTCTCGCTCCGTGGAGGACGCTCCGGATAGAGCAGATGGACTAAACGAAACCGAGAGAACCGGGGAGGTTTTTAAACTTTCTGTCTTTGACAATTTTTAATAGAAACGTGCTGTAAGCGAGCGTTTTAAAAGCTTGTCAGTTCTCGGACTGAAAAGGACTGAAAGCGCTGTTTTCCATACTGTAAGGTCCGTGGATTACGCACAGTGGAGCTCCCGGGACAGAGAAAAGTTTTGAAGACCGTTTTTCCCTTGGCGAAGGAATTAAATAAAGAATATTTTGCAGTTATTTCTGTACATGCAAAAGCTGCTTTTTAACTAAACCCGAGCCTCTCTGGAGGAGTGATCTCGCTTCTTTTTTAAAGCAATCACATTGGCTGATTTCATGCCGAGATAGATTGAATTTACTGATGGATTAGAATAAACTTAGACTTCAGACGAGAGAAATAGATCTTTACATTAATGCTTTGGGACATGGCAACAGCCACCTCGAGCCCATACCTCGCCAGCAGCAGGATTTTATCCGGCCCGGTCCTTCACTCTGACCGGAGAGGAGGCGGCATGCAGCCGGGCAGCCCCGCTGTCACCACGGTGTCTTCGGGTTACAGAGGAGACCCTTCAGTCAAGATGGTGCAGAGTGACTTCATGCAGGGCGCCATGGTGGGGAGCAATGGTGGCCACATGCTGAGCCATGCCCACCAGTGGGTGACATCGTTGCCTCATGCAGCAGCCGCAGCAGCCGCAGCTGCGGTCGCGGCAGCAGAGGCTGGGTCCCCGTGGCCCCCAAGTTCCCAGCCGCAGGACGTGAAGAGAAACAGGGAGGACCTCCACCCAGGCTCCGCTCTGCACCACCGACCTCCACACCTAGGAGCGCATCAGGCGCACGCGGGAAGTTGGGGAGGCTCCTCCACTGCGCACATCAGCATTAGCGAAGGGCAGCAGCATCAGCAGCAGTCTCTGATTTACTCTCAGCCCGGAGGGTTCACTGTCAACGGGATGCTCAGCTCACACAGCGGCCAGAGCCTCATGCACGCGGGGCTGGTGCGAGGGGAATCCCCGGAACTTGACCACAACAGCCACCATCCTCATCATCACCACCACAACCACCACGCGCACCACCACCAGCACCACGGGGTGAGCCACGACCCGCACTCAGACGAGGACACCCCCACCTCTGATGACCTCGAGCATTTCGCCAAACAATTCAAACAGCGACGCATCAAGCTGGGCTTCACGCAGGCGGACGTGGGGTTGGCTCTGGGCACCCTGTACGGCAACGTCTTCTCCCAGACCACCATCTGCAGGTTCGAAGCCCTGCAGCTCAGCTTCAAGAACATGTGCAAGCTGAAGCCTCTGCTCAATAAATGGCTAGAAGAGGCCGACTCCACCACGGGGAGCCCCACCAGCATCGACAAGATCGCCACGCAGGGCAGGAAGAGGAAAAAGCGCACGTCCATCGAGGTGAGCGTCAAAGGCGCGCTCGAGAGCCACTTCCTCAAGTGTCCCAAACCCTCCGCGCAGGAGATCAACTCTTTGGCGGACACTCTGCAGCTGGAGAAGGAGGTGGTCCGGGTCTGGTTCTGCAACCGCAGGCAGAAAGAGAAGCGCATGACGCCGCCAGGACTGCCGCGCACCCCGGAGGACGTGTACTCACAGGTGGGCAGCATGGGACCCGATACCCCGTCACCCTCCATAGACTGTAAGAGGATGTACAGCGACACGTGAAAGGAAATCTGACCAGCAAGTGTTTGAATACAAAATATTTCATGTTTCCTTTAAACAAATTCTGACTATTGATGAACTTTTCTTACAGATCCACGCGTCCTTTGACCCACAATAATGCTGTGTGTACATTTCAGAGCTGGACCTGTGTCTACTTTTATGCATCCCCGGGTACTTTACTGCACTATGAATCAGCCTTTGGGACAGTAAATGAACAACTGAACCAAAATATGTGGAGAAGGTAATTGTAACTCCATTTAAGGTAATGTTTGTTTACCAGAAAAGATGGAGATCAAAAGTTCAAACCATTATAGTTATTTCCAGTTTTTCTGTATTGATAAAACTCAGAGTTCCCTTGTAGTGTTGGAGGTTTTTATGTCCCACAGGCTGTAGTGTTTCTTCTATAACGACGTTCATTTAATGCGTTTTGTTCAGCATTAAGTTGTTTTAAATGAGCAATAATTTCCCTTCCTGAAACACATTTCTTGCTTTGTGTTTTGTGTCAGTGGATTTCTGTTGTAACCCAGTTTAACATGATCAAAATAACGTTTAATACATTTCCAGTTTTGTGTTTTCCTGCATAGAAAACTTGTTTTTTAAAACTAAAACATACTCCCTCAACTTTATCATGTACTAGTTATTCTGCGGTGTGTTCCTGTGTGATGATTTGGACTATTTATTTTTTTCCACTGTGTTTATTTTCATGGAATAGTATAATTATTTAAATAAATATGACCAAAAAAGACGATATTGTGTTAAGATATCTGAGATTATCATTATTTTGTTCACATACACGCACACACAACTTAGCAGTGAAAAATCAAATTTGTTTTTTCATGGAAATCTGTGACAAACACATACTTCACAGAGTTTTCATGTCAATAAAAGCAGCGTAAGATTTAAGTGAGCAACATAGAAGTTAAAAATCAGTCCAATTCAACACTTATTTTAAAGAGATTTATGTTATTCTGTCCAGATCAAGAGCCCCAATGACCGAAGTGTTAATAGAGATGAGGTAAAGAATTGATCAAAGAGAGTTTTCAAGAAAAAAATGCCAAACTCAGCAACTTTGCATGTACTAAATGTTTAAAGCCAAGCAGGAGAAACAGTCACCAAACCTTAAGAGCCTTTGTATGAACAACTTTTCAGAATCCGAACAACATAATCCATGTAATAATCACGGCTTTTGTTACTCTGAGCTTCAAGAGTTTTAAATTATTTCCAAATTTATGTTACCTGTGTTAGATTTTTGAGTTATGCTGCGCTTTTGTAGCATCTCTTTGTTAGCTTTGGTTCAGAGGAGTCCATAAAATCCACGATTATATCAGTTTGATGATCTGTACTCTTTTACCGCACTGCTTCTGGGCAGTCATCTTTCTCTGTGAAAGCCATAACTCAGTACAACGTCAAACCGGATGACATTTAGAAATGTTATTAGACCCACAGTTTTAAGATCAAGCTGAAAAATCTGCTAAAAGACGCGCTCACAAATGTAACCTCTAATTTAAAATCACTGCCTCTCACCTCAGCAGCTTTTTTGTGTTGCTGATTTAATGTGGATTGGAGTGTGTGTATGTGAGTGTGTTTATGACATGCAGATTTGCGTTACTCTGTGTAATTGTCTTGTTTCTCCAGTTGTGTTTTATTACCATGTGAAGTTTTAATTGGGACCCGCACATATAAATTACCTTTAAAGCTGCTGTGAGGAATTTTTTGCTGGTTGCGAAACGGATTGCAAATGATACTGCCGCCTCTCTGAGGTTAACTAAAACATGCAAGACCATCAGCAACAAGACTAATATTAAAGTGTATTTCTACAGCTGTGAGGGGGCAGGTGTCAGACCGGACAGTTAAGAGCCCACTAAGGAAACGACTTTTTTCTCTTACATTTGAAACAGCAAATAGACATCAGAAATGACAAACTGTTTAAGGAAAAAAGGGGAAGAGGTTTTGTTAAAAAAAGAAAAGAAAAAAAAAGCGTAATGTTTCGGACAAAATCAGTTTAGACTTTTCCCGCAGGGGGCGCCAAAACAGATACACTGAAAGTTCCTCACAGTAGCTTTAAGCTATCTCTGGTTCAATGCACCTATTGGCAGTTCCGAACTTTAATATTGTACATAGTCTTGTTGAAAATAAAATAAGTAAAATATCTGATCCCAAACTGATAATAAACTCAGTAAATTCTATAATTTATCCAAATCAACAAAGTTAGGTGGATTAAATCTCTGTTATTTGAAAGACTATTTAAGCAAAAACTTGCATTTAAAAGTTATAAGAAATAGTCATCAGTTGTATCTTACGCAACCTCATCTAGTTCCATGTTTACAGTCATACAGCCTGCATCATCTGTCATTAGCCTCCATCTCTCTACACTTTTCACACCATTTATATTCACTTCTGTTCGCCTCAGCTCAAACTAACAAACATAACTCTGTTCTTAAAGTTTGCATGCTAAACCGCCTCTCAGTCCTGTCACATACATCCATCCTGTGGTGAAGCTATGGATGGACTGCAGCTCTGTGGATCGCAGCCAACAGAGGTCGACTATCCCAGCTGGCAGTTCACCTCGGCAGCGGTTGCCAAGGTGACAGCGAGATGGAGGGACAGGAGGCGGTGGATCCTTTGCCACAGATGATGGGTTTGGCAGATAGGCAGGCTATAAAAAAGGGTTTCCTCTGTCTCTACATGAGCCATACATACATGACACACACACGAGCTGATGCTACGAATCAAATATGTCATCGGTTAAACAGATAAATGGCGAAAAAAGCCAAAAGTTGGCAGAGAAACTTGGAAGGAGGTCAAAGGTTGACTGGTAGCAAAAACACGAAAACATTTAAGTTAATATGTGACTGCAAATGTTCCCTTTGAAATCACAGGTAGAGTGTGTGTTTCTGTGTTAGAAAATTCAAGTTGTGTTTATGGTTGTGTGAGTGTGTCTATCTCTGTTGAACATTGGCAGGATTTGGGATAAACTCAGGCTTGTTAGGTTATGAATAGCTGTCCGCAGGTATGAATGGGTTGTTTCTTCACACGTCAGCCATCGTCATTCTGGGTAAATTTTAAACTCTTAACGGGCTGAAGGGAGACACGTAATCATGAAGTTGACATTTTAAGAGTTCTGCACCTGCTTATGGAGTCAGTATCTACAAAAACAGACACATCAGATACATATGAACACTATCTTTTGAAAGCTTTTATAGGTTTAGTTTTCTTTTTACCACTGAACTAATAATTTTTGTAAAATAGAGAAGACTGTGCTGTTCTCGGCGCAGTTAAAACCTAAAAATGTAACACAGACAAAGCCAAAAATAAAGAAATGAGCATATTTTCAAGCTTGGATAATAGATAACTTTGTAAACCTTTTTAACAAACATTGGCGGAACTGCATAGTGTTAGTAAGGAAAGCACATTTACAGAGACTGTAGTCCTCGCTGCCGTGGCCTTTGGTTTGAGTTTTTGCTCTCAGCCTTTTGCCAAATGCAGTCTCCACTCTTTATACCTATTTTTGCCTATCATATATTTTACATAAAAAAAGAAAACAGTCAGGGGGAAAAGGTTTGCACTGCAGTGGCATCAGACCCTTTCTCACATGCAGTCCTAGAATGTTCTGGAAAATTTCCCCTCAAATTTCCAAAGTTACATGTCCATTAAAGCAATAGACAGCTACTCCACACCGACCGTTTTTGTATTAAGATATAGATGTGGAGACATCATTGCTGTTCTTGTTTTGAAAAGGGTTCTCCTTCCTTAATCTTGGATGTTTGTATTTGCCCAGTTTAATGATGCTTCTCCAGGTTTGTTCGCTCACTTGGTTTTAACACAATCACTCCCACTCACTTCTACGATGTGGATATTCCTGCGCATTTTTTGCTGCGTTCTCACATCTGTTCACTTCAACTCCAATTTTGCTGGCAGGGAAAATTCAAAGAAAAATGGGGGTAAAATGTTAGCGCTCACATGTGAAAATTTCCCCGGTTTTGTGGATGGGTGAAACTAGAATCACTTTGAGATAGAAAAAAAGCTTAACTAAACATACCAGCTGCTTTTACACGTTAAACACACAAAAGAAGTGCTTGCATCGAGCACAGTTACGTCATACAGAGGTAGAAAATGGCTCCATATTCCTCTGTACTCATACACCTTCTCTTGTTTGAAAGATGGATCCAATATTGCAGCAAGAGCCCAAGTTCTGAGCTAAAATGGGAGGCAGAATCTAAGCTTGTGGGATTGCTGTGTGATCCCCTGAAAGCTTATCGATGTAAAGATGGGAGATAAGGCTGAAATTGGGGGATAAAAAAGCTCTTTAAAGAGGTTTTGTCATCACACGACGCTGAGGTGTCCTCTCTGAATATTAATGCAGGGATCTGAAGGTGCGAGCTGATGATGTTACAGTAAACTGATGGAAAAGAAGTCAAACAACAAAATTAACAAGCTAATATGATAAAATGAAGTGTTTATGTTCTTATAGATGAGCTAAATTTGCAGCCAGCGCTTGTGCTCACCTAAATTCAATATTATTCCTAATGAGAGTAATGTTCCCTGCATCACTAAATGTTGCAGTTAAACATTAAGCATGTCATTACCTCCTCCAATAAAAAACCGCTGATATTATAGCTCATAATTGCTCCTAAAACCCTGTTCAGCGGCACTTAACATAAAGCAATTATTGCTTGATAATCCCCTCCTCAATGTTGCTTGTTTGTGTCCCACAGTCTCTCTCACACACATACACGCATACACACACAAACCTGCACTGATTCAGAGCAGCAAAGTTTTAATCTTCAACTATTGCACTGTGGGTTACACATTATCAGTCTCTGCTCTTTGGCGTTAATTATTTTCACATTGCTGGGATTGGTTAAACAGTGAAGTCTAACACTGATTAACAACACCGCCTCACTCAGTGTGACTAATCACAACTTCTACTGCAGGTAGCACGAGTAAAGAGGCCAAACAAGGGAGTTAAAGGTGGTTTTAATGTTAGTCATCAATGAATTAAAATGTCCTCAGTGCAAGAAACACATTGTTTGTAAATTACAAACAAAATTGTTGCTTGTGTGAGTTTTTTTTCCCCTTCTCTCTGTTCTGGTTATTTTAATATTAGCTTTTTGGTAAATGATGGGCCGCCAAAGTCTCTCCATCGGGAAGAAATTAAAGCAAACATCTGTGGAATAATGGACGGGGAAATGAATTCTCTCAGCAGCGAGCTTGTTGTGTGGGTGCCACTGAACGTGACGAGCATGCATGTGCCAGGCCGGTGGAGTGGAACTCGTTTGATGGGCATGTTCAACACATGGGCATGATGCCAATTTAGACAAGCATGCTCATGAAAATAATCTCTGGCTGCGTGCAGAGTGAATGAATGTAATAGTATCTTGAGTGAAGGTGGAGAATATACCAGCTTTCTTACAGAAAATCTAATTATCTCTAGAATATGTGGAAATAATATTCTACACATCTGGACTAAGTCAGAATTCTGTCGGTGATGTGTAATTTACCACTTCACGAAAATATACAAATGTCAACAGTTAGTTAAATTTAGTCTGTTGAGTTTAGAGAAGAGATCCTGCAACTCTAAAAGTGGAATAAAACCCCTGAATTCATACAGATAAAAACCTGAACATATAAACAGTAGGATATCCAAAAGTCTTTTATGGCTACAGGTCAAATGTTTGAGGTGCAATGCTGCCATCTACTGGACAAAGTGATTAATGCAGCTCTCAGTATTTTTCACTGATTCTGCAGCCTGAAACATTTTTCCAGGACAATACGTATAATGTAAGTATTGGATAACCATCCATCCAAGATGGATAACCATTTGTAATTTTATAACAAACAATAAAAAATGTACCATTATTAAAGAAAAATAGTGCAAACAGAGAGTAAACAAGTGAAAACTACATAGAAATTGCTGATTGAACTGAGCCTATATTAGGAGTGAAAAGTAAGAAGATCCTGAAGATTTATTGCTGAAATTTTACAAAGTGAATAATTAAAAAAAGACGTTTTAAACTGATTTATTGCTTTAAATTCAACATTTTTTTTTCAATTTGATTGGTTTTCATCGTTTACTACAAACCATTTTCATTTTTGCTAGACTTATTGTGCACAATTGGTAGGCTATTGATATTGCTTCTTATATCAAATGACATATGGTGAGAGAAGATATATATTTGCTTGTTTTAGTTTTAATCCAGTTAAGATCACACACCTAGAATAGATTTGATCAATTCAAACCTCTTACTACCTGCTTATATGGCTTAGATGTAAGTGCTTACATGTCTTTGATGTGCATCTCTCTAAAAACAACCCTCACACGAAACCTGATTAGCATATTAATTGAAAATGGTGCTGGGAGCTCAGCATCATTTCTAACCCTCCAGAGTTCAGGGGACTTTGATTGGCGCACTGCTCCTTTAAATGAGCGACCACCTGCTCCTCTGGCGTCAGCATCAGCCGCAGGCGGCGGCGGCGGCACGATGGCGATCGATACGGCAGGAAAATGTACAAGTGGGTTATTTCGAGAAAAGCTCGACATAAACCGGCAGAGAAACACGATATCTGATCTGACTATGCCGACGGAGGACGAACATGAAATATTATATCAAGTGCAACGTCAAGGTGGGTCTGTTCATGTCTTGATAATGATCAGAGGATTCATCGATTAATTGGTTCAGCCACGAGCAGGTCTATTCGCTTCGATGTCTTTACTATAGCCGACATGTGCAAATGTTCTTTGTTGTCCTGTGATACAGAGAGGTTAAAGAGTCACAGGTGTGAGGTAAGATCAGGTTCATGTAGAAACAAGGGAACACACTGAACACAGACTGCAGCTGCTGCATGATGGGAAGGAGCTATTAATCTGGAAAATATGACAAAGTTTTTACAGCAAAACAACAATATCAACCAGCATCCAGCAGGTGAGGCCCCTACAAAAGTGAGGACTAACCATTACTGATTTAGATCAAACTATAATTTCAGATAACTCAGGCTGTGGAGGATAAATCTGTGCTTGTGTCTCTCCTGGTTGTTTATCATCCATCATGAATCCTTCAGGTTGAGCACAACAGCTGAATAAAACCACGTTCTTGTTTAGATTGGCAGAGAGGAGCCCCCTGCAGGACATCGTGGCTCATTGTTTTTTTTTTTGGCACAATTAACTCTTAATCCAGGAACCATCATAATTTTCCTGCTACTGCTCATCACATTCGCCAATATATTGATTGTTTTGACCCACTTAACTGTAAACAACATTTTTTTTTTATTGAACTTCCAAGGATTTTATTTTTCACCTTCCTGTCTGTGACTAAAGCCTGTTTACTCAAAGTTTCTGGAACAAAAGCGAACAGTTTTTTTTTTCAGTCTACCTAATTCATCAATCTTGACTATGATTTTATAATTTGTGAAACCAGTGACTGAGAAATTGTTTCTCATTGGAGGATACGGGCTGCTTGTTGCCATGAAACTGGTGACCTTGTTGCCTTGGTAACAACCAGTAACACTATGCAGCGGCCTGTTATGTGTTTTGTACAAGGCTAGTTACAGTCAAATAAAGGATCGTATTCTTGAACTTGTTTAGGTAAAAAAGCCACACTGAAGATGAACAGTGCTATTTTTTAAAGTTATTTATATTTTATTGATGATGTGTTTGAGAAAAAAATCTATCAATCTATAAGTTTTTTTCTTTATATATCATTTAATCCTGCAATTAAGTCAGTATTTTTCTTGGAAGTTTTGACTCACATTTTCATTTTGTTTTTTTCTCTTAGCTCCTGAGTGACAGTCCAGTAGGAGCAAATCCAGGACACAAACACTAGACTGGCCCCATCAAATCTCACATACTGTCCAACCACCAGGAGCAAGAGGTGGTATCCATAGCAACAGATGTGTCCTTACATGTGTCATGACCAAAGGAGGCCTCTGTGATTGTTGCATCAGAATTTCAAACTGGGAATGAGCTTTTGCCAAGTCAACAAAAGGACGGTGACATCGTAGGTGTGTAGCCTTCCTGTCGTGTTAATGTTGTTGTTTTTTTCATGTGTGAAGCATCACACAGACCGTGTGTGTCGGGGGAAGGAAAGGTGGTGATGAGATGATGTGTTTGTTGGCTGTTAATCATCAACCTTATTCAGACCAGTAAGTAGCACCTCTCTGTCCTCTGTGTTCCTGTGTCTGTGGATGTTGTTGTCTGTGGTTTATGTAACTCTGCATCACAAACACGTCATTCTTCCGCTCACTGTTTCACATTCACAATTATCACTTAGTAACAGATCACAGCTTAACTCTGAATTTCAAAGATATTTAAAGTCACTGTTTTTTATGGTTAATCGTGTTTATAGATGCTTTGTAGGACTTAAATACATGGGCAATGACTTCCTTGGTTCACTCTTGGTTCACATATTAACGTTTCTATAAGATTGTCAATAAAACAAAAAAAAAACTGTTCAGTAAAATATGATTTTTTTATGGTTATCAACATAAAAAGAAAATCCCAAGGACTTCCTCATTAACACCCATAATAGTGTTTCCTTTAACCCACTGAATGTATTCACATGGGGGTAATTAAAAAAGAAAAAATCATGTCCACCTTTGTTTCATGTTGGAGATCATATTAATCCTGCAGATCTGACATATTATCATGTTAATGCTCAAGGTGAAATCCTTCGAGCAGCTATCATGAGACAACACTAATTAGTAGCACTTACTGCTTCCTTGTTAATATTTTAAGTGGCTTGAAAGGGAATGAATTCTGCCATTGTTTTCAGACAGTAACATGTGTTATAACATGGTAGGCATTTATACCAATCTTAATGTAATAATAAAGTAAATCTAAAGCTTCTATGAGGACTTTTTGATATTTGTGTTTGAAATGGACTCAAATATTGAGGTCTTTTCATGATATCCAAAAGCAAACAAGGCCATCCGCAGCAAGACAGGCGGTTTATATACCATCATTTTTAATGCCCGTAACTGATGGGAGGTTGTAATACTAACTGAGCAGTTTAATGAAACAGCCCTGTATTTATAATTTCAGTGTAAATTATTCCCATGAAACATTTGACTGTCAAAAAAGTTAGCAATATTAGTTTTTGGTCAAAAGACATCGCTTACACATGTAAAGGACAATATACATAGAAACTGTTTTGTCAACAGGAGGTGCTGCCAAAATCAACCCAAGTAAAACTTCATGTGACCTTTAATTGATAACTCTTGGATAAGAGCTGATACTGGTTTTAAAACAAACCGGTATAATGACTGTTGAGACACTTGGCGTTTGCTAGAAAGTGGATGCTTTTGTGACAGATATCTACCTGCTTATGTATATCAGATAACTGTTAAAGTAGCGTTAGATAAGAGCTTGAATGAGTCTTTGAGTGAATCAGTGAAAGTAGCCTTGCTATAAGCCATCATACAGGAATGGCAAGCTGGAAATTCTTATGTTAAAATTTCCAGTAAAGAACTTTTGGTTTGAGTCAATTTTGGCGCCCCTCTGTGGAAAAAGCAGTCTTCGCTGATTTCATTCTCTGCATGCATGAATAGTTTCTTTTTTCTCCTTTTGGACTGCTACTTTTTTGATGATCAAATAAATAGTTTATAGTGAATATTTTCAGTGCAAATTGTCAAAGTAGGACCTTGTTCTTCAGCAGCTAGACTAACACCTACCCCCTCATAAGTGACATAGGTATTAGAAATTAGGATATAGTAGTCTTCAACTTGTCACTCACTGATAGTATTCTTAGCTTTTGGATATCATAAACAGGGCCACACTATGAATTTAAGTCTATTTCATAAACATTTAACAAACCTTTATAGGAGATTTAAAAACTGGTTGAATGCTAAATTAGCGTTTCTGTAGCGGAGGCACATGGGATTTCTAATATCTTGTTTGACTCTACAGATTTATCAGGATTGGTTGTCCTCTGAATTGTTAATAAGACCTGTTGCATGGAGCTAAGCGTCAAAAACACTTTACAGTATTTCAGCTTTTTGTCCAGAGTGTGACGTCAATGTAGAATGGCCACCATGCAACGATACTGTATTAAAAGTTTAATATGTTTACTGTGAGGTATCATTTATGCAATTGACAACTGGTCTGAAATATATCATATGTTAATATGTTGTCTTTCTATTTCAGGTAATGCCATGGGAGTGCAGCTGCTGGAGGACGGCTCAATGAGTCCACTGTAACAACAAACAAACAAACATGCATCATCTTTGGGACTGATAGCTGATAACAAAAGCCACAATGGCTTTTTGTAATGAAAGCCTGCCGGAGGAGTGTGTCCTCATGGAGCCGGGCAGAATGGAGGAGGAGGTGGAGAACCTCCCATCAGAAGCTGCTACACCTGTCATATCAGTCTCTCTGCGCGTGACTCTGGCCACCATAATGATCTTCATGATTACCATTGGTTTCCTCGGCAATGCGATCGTGTGCCTCATTGTTTACCAGAAACCTGCCATGCGCTCTGCCATCAACCTGCTCCTTGCCACGCTGGCATTTTCAGACATCATGCTCTCTCTGCTCTGCATGCCGTTCACTGCGGTCACAGTGGCGATTGCTGACTGGAGGTTTGGCAGCGGGTTTTGCAGAGCGTCTATCATGCTGTACTGGCTGTTTGTGCTGGAGGGAGTGTCCATACTGCTTATAATCAGCGTGGACCGTTTCCTCATTATCGTGCAGCGGCAGGACAAGTTGACCCCTCACAGAGCCAAACTGTTGATTGCAGGTTCATGGGTGCTGAGTCTATGTGTGTCTCTACCATCCGTAGTGGGATGGAGGACAGGTGCAGCAGGTATCGGAGGTTCCTGGGCGCCCCAGTGCGTGCTTGGTTACAGTGACTCTCTTGCAGATCGAGGATACACAGTGCTGTTAGCAGTTGCAGTGTTTTTTGTACCGTTTGCTATCATGTTGTACTCATACATGTGCATCTTGAACACTGTGCGCCGTAACACTCTGCGCATCCACAACCACACCAATGAGCACTCCTGCCTGCCTGCCCTCAACCAGGTCAGCAAAATGAGACTAACCGGACTGCAGAGGCCGCCTCAGATCAAGGTGGACATGAGCTTCAAGACCAGAGCCTTTACCACCATCCTCATCCTCTTTGTGGGTTTCTCTGTGTGCTGGCTGCCTCACACTGTGGTCAGCTTGTTGGCTGTGTTCAGCCGGCGGTTCTACTACAGCTCCGTCTTCTACCCCATCAGTATTGGCGCTCTGTGGCTCAGCTACCTGAAGACGGTGTTCAACCCAGTGATCTACTGCTGGAGGATCAGGAAGTTCAGGGAGGCCTGTCAGGAGTTCATCCCCAAGAGCTGCAGACTGTGTCCCAGAGTGCCGGGTCGGAGCCGCCGGAGGGTGAGACCGAGTAACATCTACGTGTGCAGTGAGACGCAGTCAGCTGTGTGAAACAATGACGATGCAAACCAGCAGCTTTTGATGCTGCTAACAAGTGTCTCAACTCTAACTCTACTGCAAAGTGAGCAATCAGGGGCAACTCAAGTCTTCAAGTCCACCTTAAAAAAACAGAACAGGTGATTGAAGGACGAACTTTGTGTAGATTTTGGCGCCTCCTGTGGACAAAAAACGTCTATCTTTTTGCTGATATTAAGCCACAGTTGTGTTTTTTTTTTTTTTTTAATTAAATAACTTTTATCCTACTGGCTGTCTCTAACAGTTTAATGTTTCATGGGTTGTAAATCTTTTCCTTGGAAAATGTGAACAAAGGCATTTTGAGCAGCAAAGTATCAACCAATGTGTCTGGTATCTACCCAGCAGCAACAACACATGCAACTGTATGGCAAATATCAGGCTCTTTCCTCATGGTCTGATTTGCTTTTGCAGGTCATATACGGGCATTTCAATGATTCACTTTGTTTCTAAAATCTCCTTATAGGAGCCTTAACTACGTTCTCTTACAACAAGAATAAATTAACTCTTGAGTTTGAGTAGACTCTTGTTGGTTTAACCTCATGGTCTTTGTATTATTACCGTTGTTTCTCAGGCTTGACTCGCTGTCTTTGAGCAGTATTAGTGTCTGTTATGTCGTGAGTTTTACAATTAAAACAGGGTATTAATGTTCAGGGAGACAGTGTACAAGTCTTCAGCTTCAATCTTTCTAAAGAGATTTTAATGAATGTTGTGCTGAAACGCGACCTTACGGAGGTATTGTGTCAAACCATCAAAGATGTCTGTCAGTTATGGGCTGTGAATGTATAATTGTATCATGAATGACTAAACCAGATGAATAAATACAGTTTATAAACGAGGATGCACTGATGGACTGGGATGCTTGAATGAAAACACATTTCCATCCATGAATGTTGATAGGTTATTGTGTCTCTTCTCTTTGTATCTGCTTCATCTAATACAACATAAACACAGCATACACTGTGGACTGAAAACTCAAGGTAACATATTTCAAAGAGTATGAAGTATTTGTATCCAACCATGTAATTTTTATGCATTTATTTACAAGATGTTTGTAGGAATGGAAAAAGAGGTTGTATTACTGCATTAAGCAGGAAGATGGTGCTGTTATATTATTGTCAAATTAGTCAGCCTCATTTACTCAGTCAGAGCCTCATATATCTAATTTGATCACTGATTTTATTTCAGTTCATTCATTAATTAATGATTGTCAAATCCTATAGCAGTCATCTAAGAGTCTGGATATAGTAGAAGCCTATTGAACTTTGACCTAAGAAAAAAAACAGGGGCAGATGGGAAATATGGCCTTCACTTTGGAGATACACAAGTTGCACTGTAACACCATTCCCATTTAATTAGCAAAGCTCTCTCGATAAGTTTGACAGCTTTTGGCAACACTTTTTTGTTATCAGTTAATAGGTTAATTATTTTTCCAATTAACTGATTAAAAATCATTTTAAAAAATGCAGTGAAATGCCAAAATTGTAAGTCCAATAGTCCCAAACCCAAAGGTATTAAGTGTACTGTCTCTAATGCAAAGAAGTGCAGCAAATGGAGAGGCACAGCCATGTTTTGAGTGGGTTAAAGATCGTACTTTAAATGATTTATAAATCATCTGATCAGCTTTAGGCTTATAATCATGAAAATATTTTAAAATTTTGCATCTCGTTTTCATTTATGTGTTCTTGATCTGACACTCACATGATTCATAAGATAAAATTCATTAAAATAAATTATTTTCTTTGTAGACTGACCTTTTCTGAATGTAGAAAAAATGCTTCTCATCTAGTGTTCAATTTGAATTGTGCGTCACTACCTTCCTGACTTAATTATTAGCTTATAAATAGAAGCTGTTTGCTAATAGAGACACATTCAAACATAATTTACATGTGTAAAAGCACGATTTTCCCTGCCTTTAAAAGCTCTCAACATTAAAAGGTAAGGCTTTGTCCAAAACTGTGTTATTTAAAATTCTAATTTCCATTTGTCAAAATGTTAAACTGGCGCACAAACACCCACACACACAAAAACAAAGAAAAAGATTAGGTCAGGCCAATTCTTCTTGTTGCCCACACATGACAGCCAACACATGGCCGGTTTGTTTGTCCTAATTGAGATCTCATGGCATCACAGCACTGCCCTAACTTAATCACTTCACTTAGAGGTTGATCTAACTGCATTTTTGCTCTGATCTCAGGTTAAAACACCCCCCCCCCCCAGGAGTTACATAAGCTTCAGACAATAAAGACTCACAAACACGGTTTCCTGCTCATAAAACTTTGAAATTTGTAGAAGCTGCAAGCTGGTGTGACTTTTTGGATGAGGAAAACTGTTGGCTGTTAAAGAACACTATTTGAGGACTGTAAAGACAAAGTGAGCCATGTTTTTTCCCCTTTTTCTAGTAGTTAGGGAAAATGCATGTTGCCTAAGTAGATATGGATTACTCAGCAAGTAAAATACACAATATGTGAATTTATAATCCAATTTTACAACCCCATTATAGAATAAATAAACAAATACTAAAGGAGCATATCATGTATAACTCACAGTTTCTATCAATCTGCTGTTTCTCACACTTCACACAGTATATGTGTTTGTAACATCCTCCCTGAATCCAAAGGAATAAAAAGCTTTGGCTTAAACTTGTCTGAGATTTGCTGACTTGAACTCACAAGTTTGACAATGATGGTACTCAGGCCTTCTTTAAAAGATAAAATGTGCTCATCCTCAGCAATAAACCTTTTTTTTTTTAAATCATTCATGGCACTAAACTTGGACATTTGCCATGTATTTATTGCAAACACCCTAACAATTAGATTGCACTTCATTCTGCAGCTTTGATGTTCTTTCAAGTTTTCCTGCAGCCAGTTTATGCAAGAAACTTACTCGACAGGAGTTGTATATGGATAAGTTCAAATGATTCTCTAAAACATATTCAGGTCTGCATATGTTATACAGTACAGAAAAAATATCTCTTTGTGGCAGCACCCTTTCATAGACTGAAAATTCAGTTAGCACATGACTGAAAACAATGTCTGTCTGTAATAAATCAACAACAAGACATGACTGATACACATGACTGGTTGGGACAAGAATTTAAAACTGGCAAGGCCCCTCACAATAATATCGGCTCCAAAATTATTCATAACTAAGCCTAATTACCTAATTAAAGTGTTATCACATGTTGACATATGACTCCCATTAAGCCAGAACTCCTCTTTCAAAAACCAGAGCACAAAACCATACAGTCCATTATTTTATTTTAACTTTGTTCTTTCTTAATTCATGATGAAAATCAAATCATATTAGTTATACTCTATGATTTTACTTCACAAAAACAATATCTTTATTGAATTTTGCTGCTTCATCACATGGTATGTGTGGAGATAAAATCCTGGAGGGATAGGAAACTTGAAGCATTTCTTGAAAAACTTATTTTATAAACAAATGTTTTATGTTGTACCTTCAGTACAACTGTAAACTGCACAGGATGAGGATTTTTCCTGACTAAAAGACTGTTCAATAATACAAAAACACCTTCTCTAGACGAAATACTTTTTTTGTACTTTTCACAGCAGTCAATTTTCTATTTTTTTTATTCAATAAAATATCATATAAAATGCATTACTCTATGTTTTTAATAGCTTTTTTGTTTGATAAATATTGGATAGTTGTGAAGTATTGTTTGAGTTCCTTCTCAAAAATTAAACATGATGGATTGTGATCCCCGAATTTGAATTTGTGTATGTGCTATTTAGCAAGTAGAACAAGCAAGTTGATGAACCAGACAGAGAGACTAATGCACGCTTTTATAACCAGCAGGCTTGACTACTGCAATGCTCCTCTCTCTGGTCTACCAAAAAGCACAATAAATCAGCTACAACTGATCCAAAACTCTGCTGCTAGAGTTTTGACTAGGACCAGGGGAAGAGCTCATATGAAACCCATTTTAAAGTCTTTGTACTGGCTGCCTGTTAGTTTTTCGCATTGATTTTAAAATTCTTTTACTAGTTTATAAAGTTCTATATGGCCATTGGCCTGGCACCAGAATACCATTCAATGATGATTTTAATTTATGAACCAGGGCGGCCTCTCAGATCCTCTCAATCTTCTCTTTTAGTCGTTCCACAGAGCAGAACAAAAAAATTTGGTGATGCCTCTCTTAGCTGCTACTCTCCAAAACTGTGGAACAAAAGTTCCAGATGGTCTGAGACAAGCTGCAAATATTGAAATCTTTAAACTTAACCTAAAAACTCACCTATTTAGCCTGGCTTTTATTCAAAACTTCATTATTTTAATTACTATTATAATCTATTTATTTTTTAGTATCACTTTTTAGCTTATTTTATTAATAAATTCAAGTTCATATTTTATTGTCTGTTTTAATCTATTTTGATAACTTTTATTTTTCTTGTCCTGATGTAAAACACTTAGAGATGCAATTTCATTTGTATGAACAGTGCTATGTAAATAAACTTTGAGTGATTGATTGATAATAATAATGATCTTTGTTTTTCGCAGGATAGGAGTGGAACCCAAACAGCACATTCGCATATGTAAGAGACACACCAGACAAGATATTTTGGGAAATAAATGTACAAACATCTTTCCAGAAAACCGATGAATTTTTTTTCAATTTAAAGGGCCTGCCTCTGCTCCATACCACCATCGTCCTTCGACGATGTGACGCGGGGCATGCGTAGAAGACGCCAACATCCAATATGGCGGCTTCCACGGTACAGGATGGAACGGCTGCTTGTTCCTCGAGTGTGGATGTTTTACTACACCCCGAGCTGCTGTCTTTAGAGTTTATGCAGCTTATCTTACATGAGGTCAGTTACTGTTTGAAGGGAAATGTAAAACGACCCGTTACATGTTAAATTAGAAGAGGTTGAGCTCCGTTATATTAGCATACCGGCTAACTAACGTAGCCGTCTGTTCGTGTAGTCTGTTTTTTACGGGGAGCCCTGACTTTAGTACATGTTTGTTGTGTCAGACAGTTAGTGTGGGGTAACTTTATTGTCTCTCTAACTTAGAAAAACGTCAATACCAGGAGCTGTGAGAGTCGAGATCGCCTGACAGAGCTGTACCTTCGACATGTCATCCCTCTGCCGCAGAGGTCTTTACCCGACAGCCGCTGGGGCAGGAGGGTGCAGAAGACCCGAGCGAGGCAGACCCCAGCCGCCGGTCCCAGGTCCGACAGGTAAAGGTGTTTTCATTTTCTCAGGACTCCACTGTGTACGATTCAAGGATCTGTTGACAGAGCAAAATTCAAATAGGACATGTGAACAAATGTTTCCATTGGTGTGAAATCATCATAACATAGACAAGTTTACCTTTGTATGAGCTGCTCCTACAGACTGGTACCATCCATTCAGTCCGCCAGATTAGCGCCGCCATGTTTGATTACGGTAGCCGAAGACGGACAAACCAAAACCTTCATTTAAATTAGAGTGTCAAACTCAATCACAGATTCAAGTGGAGCCTAAATCGCGAATCAAACACGATTAACGCTTATTGAATTATCTGAAACTGACCATGTTTGATCAGAAATATAAATTTTGAGAACCAAACAACATCTTTCTCCACAGTAAATAATGAACATTGTTTTTTTTTTCACTTCAAAATTAAATTTCGACACTTCCAAGTTGGCAATTCTCCTTGTGAACTCAAAGTGTGTTCAGTTGATCAGCAGAATGAGTGGCTGGAAACACAGCAGTGGGGACCTGATTTGTGATTTTTTTGGCAACATTGAAAGTAATTTTAAGGGATATTCTGCATAAAATTAAGTTAGGGTCAAACACACTGTAACACTGAGTTAGAAACCCCCTCGAGAGATGAATGTCGCCAACCACTTGCTTCTCTAGTTATACCAACTTTAGTAATGATCACAGATGGCAATAGAGAGAGCCACGTGCTCAACCAAACAGTCACTCTATTGCCACAAATAATGCCCAGAACAGCACTTAACTTCATTAACAGTACATATAGGGTCCTAGCCATAGCATTAGCCACCAAACACCTTTTTAACTTTGCTTGATTTCTTTAGCAAAGAGACTAAACACAACTTACCCAGTCTCCTCCAGCAGCCGCTTGTTTTTTAGCGAGACCTCAGGCGAGTCCATTACAGACTGCAGCGGAGTTTCGCAGCTCAAGGAAGAACATTTAGAACCATTTCTTCACGGAATTGCAATCAGACCGAGATGCTAAGGCAGAAGAACTACCACGTCTGCAGTGCAAAATGATAAATATGGTGATTATTACTTCAAGGAAATGATAAAGAAATGATCATAAATGTTCTTCCTTGAGCTTCGTCACCCCGCTGTAGTCTGTAATGGACTGGCCTGAGGTCTCACTACAAACAAGCGGCTTCTGGAGGAGAGTGGGTGAGTTGTGTTTAGTCTCTTTGCTAAAGAAATTAGGCAAAGTTAAAAAGATGTTTGGTGGCTAGTGCTGTGGCTAGGACCCTATATGTACTGTTGATGAAGTTAGGTGCTGTTCTGAGCATTATTTGTGGCTATAGAGTGGCGTTTTGGTTGAGGTTTGTTTATGGCTCCTCAGACCGCTGCGAATTGTTATCCTGCAGTCGTTACTAAATTTGGTATAACTAGAGAAGCAAGCGGTCGGCAACATTCATCTCTTGATGGGGAAATCTAACTCGGTGTTTGGTGTGTTTGACCCTCAACCCATTTTACACCAGAATATCCCTTTAAGTTCCCTTTCTGTATCTGCATCTCCCACAGGTGCAGCAGAGCTTTTCCTGTGCACATGACTGTGTTGTTTCTTTTTTCCAGTGACAATCACAACAGAAAAAGACCTCTGATTGTGTTCGATGGCAGTTCGTCCAACTCCGGTCCACTGAAAGTAAAGAAACCAGAGGGAACCTCTTTGTCACCTGGCATCACTGACAGGTTAAAGCCTCCCCCAACTGCAAACTTGTCTAACCCCATCCGCAAGCTATCTGGAAACACATCATCCTCTTCCTCCCTCTCTTCTTCCTCGTCTTCATCCGTTAATCACAGCACTGACACAGCCAACATGAAGCGGGAAGCAAACAGCCCGGTAAGAACCTCAGTGTTCTGAGTATCATGGATTGAATACAGAATTGTTTAATGATTCAGGAAAAAAAATCTAAAGTATTCTTACCAAATATTAATAGTTTGACGGATTTAGAAAGTGGCAAAAATGATACCAGGCTGATACTGATATAAAACTGCCACAATACACTGCTTTGATATGCAAATTATTAGACAATACTCACAGTTTGACTTGGAAGGTGAAGATTTTAGTTAAAATAAAAAGAAAGGGATTCGAGCAGTCAGATGATGATCAACTGAATCATGTTTTCTTCTTCCGGCTGTTCAAAGAGTCGACTATAGAGATAATATGATATTTAGTTCAAAAAGGTTTTGGAACTTATGTTTTCAATTTGTGCCAAACAGAAAACTTGTGACAGTGAAATATTATAAAAATAGACATCTAAAGAATGGGTCACATGTGCATTCAATTTAGTATGTTTTGATTATTTATATGACCTCTTCCTGTAGCACCAGTTTATTTGTCATCTTCTGTTTTTTTCAGGGCTCAATGAAGTCTCCAGAGTTGAAGAAAAAGATTCAGCATGTGACATGGCCCTGACCTTTGGCCCTGTCAAACAGACCTAATGAAATCCCACACTCACAGCGAACGTCTTTGCCAACCCCCTCTTACTCTCGTCATCATTGTTATCCTTCTACCTGCATCATGAAAAGGGGACACAGAAACTTGTGACCTACGTGTAATGGCCAATCACAGCTCTGGGTCATTGCTGTCAGCAGACGGGATGGTGCGGTCATGCTGCTTGCAAAGTGAAGTTCTTCCTCATTACTTACCACTACCTTAAGTGCCCTTACCATTAACAATCGCCCACTTTCCTTCAAATCTCCCACACACAGATCTTAAAGAGGACAATACACAATTTAAATCTAAATAAAAAATGATTGGATTGGATTTAGGTTGTTGATAATCTGTTTCTGTGGATGAATTGATTTTTGAAAGAAAGGTGGAATGGTAAGTCACTGTAATTGGTAGCTGAAGGGACAGTCGACTCTCATAGTCATCACCAAGTATTGCTCAGTAAAGTGATAGACATGTGAGAAGCTTTACAAATACGTTATCAGGCAATGGTGAAAAAACAGTATTTCTCTGGTGTATCTTTTTTAGAAATACAAACCCCAGATGATACTGAAAAGGTAGTTTGTCACTCCTGCTCTCACTGAACTTCATTCCATCAAGGTTTGTTTTAAAAAACCTTTGTGCTGCTTTTGAAAATGTTCAGGGTTTTAATACAGAAATGTAAAAGGGTATGTGACGTTGACCATTACACAGAGACTAAGTGCTCACTGCTGAAATGCACTACTGTCATAAAAGAAAAATCGACATCCGCATAATAGAAAACCATGTTGTAATAATTCAAAGAAGTCAACCATTTCAATTGAAAGAATATGTTCGTAAAAATGTGTGTCTTTTTGAATTGCCTCTATTGTAAATTGACTTTGGAGCCATTGTCTATCTTAAAGGAAAACACAGGAACAAGACTCAGGCTGTGTCTCAAACTACACACTAACATACGGCCTTCTACATACTGTAAACAGCATACTAACTTGACAGTCAGTATGCTGTTTACAACAAACGCACACTCCTTACATCTGTCAGCTGCCTATAGCTAACTACTGTTGTACGGTTTGAAGAGCTGCAATGCATTTTGGGGTATTTTACGTCATGAGAGCCCCTGTTTCATATTCAAAAAATGGGGCCAATGAATTTTAACATCTGGGCATTTCTCTCAAACAAAATCCTGCATTCTGGATTTGTTATGTAATTTGAACTACACACACACACTGTGATGCCATACTCATTATGACTAGTATGATAGTATGTGGTTTTGTACACAGCCTCACACAGCATTTTGAATTGTCTATTTTATTGCCGTGTTTGTAACCATTGTTTTGAAATAAATTGTTTCATTATATTTCACCACTTTTTTAGACCCAAAAAATTGGGAGGCCGTATTCCAATATTTACGGTACTTTTGTACCAACATTGCAGTAGGACTTAATAAGGGAATTGAAGTTTCTCTTAAGTTCTCTAAAACATCTTAGCTCTTAAATCTGTGTGCCTTTGTGCTCAGAAGTGCTCAAAAATTCAAACATCCTGACCCAAGTTTAAGATTTATTGGTGCACAGACAAAAGTTTGAGACAGTTTTGAAATATTTAATAGGTAATAGAAGAAGTCATTCACAAAACCTCTACTAGTTAGAGCATCAAACTAGCTCATGCACAAAGCAGTATTTATTACACATTAAAGTAAATAGCCATACACAAACATGGATACTGTAGATTGACTTTTAAAAGCTTCATACAGAGTCTAGCTGCAACATGTTGCTGTTTCGTAAGCGAAGGTCTTTACATTCATGCCACAGTTATGGTATTAGTAAAGACTGTTTTCTCAAAGGACATTCAACTTGAACTAACTTCTTTCTAAATTCAAAATCAGTGTTAGTGCTTTTTCAAGGCAACAATGTACATTTATACTGAGACTAGGTAGTAAGGATGCTCTGGAGGCTATACTCTGTGCACTGATCATGTTTCTCATCTGTCATTCTTTCATTGTAACGTGGCCATCCGATTAGAGGTATCAGCCACCCCCCACACAGATTTAGATGTCCTTGCCGCACTCGGGGCACAGGATGTCATCACGTTCAGTGAGGAAGCCACGGCCAACCAGGGACACGGAGCACTTCTTGCAGTTGAAGCAGTCGTTGTGCCACTGGCGCTCCTCAAAAGAAATGTACTTGCTGCCTCCAAGGCCTGAGAAAATTGTCAGGAAAGAAACATCAGTATATAAAGAACTTAAGATCATCAGTGAGATATTAAAACAAATAATTTGTGATTACCGCTGATAGGGGTTGTGCAGGAGGCACATTTCTTGGCATAAAGGTTGCAGAAGCAGTTGAGACAGTAGGCAAAGTCGTCTCTTGAGGTAAACCTCTGACCAGACAGCTGCTGCTTGCAGCTAGTGCAGAGGAAGCAGTCCTTATGCCAGGGCTGGTCATGGTAGGTCACCCCCCCAGTGGTGATGGGCTAACAACAGGGAAAACGGCAGTACATCTCAACACTCTTTTCCATATATTCCGGTTTAATCATTGTTCTCTGACTGAAGCCTAATGAACGTGTCATTCCAGACGATCATGTAGATATTCTGTCTAAACTTCATGGTCTCACCTTCTTGCAGTGCACACACTGCATGGCAAACTGCTTCTCATAGCAGGGCACACAGAAGTTGTGGTTGTCCTTGGGGATGAAGCTCTTGGTGCCAATTGGCTGCTGGCATCTCTGGCAGGTGAAGCAGGTCTCATGCCAGCTGTTCCCCTTGTGCTCCATCTTCCTGGATCCTGCAGAGAAACAAGAAACACTGATTTAGATATTTTTCCGTAACAAACAGAAATATAAGGATTCTTTTAAAATTACTGAACATAACAATCCTTTAGTTGTTCTTTCAGAGGACAACAAAAATGCACTTTATTACATGACTGTTAATTCAGTACAGCATGTGCAAGAACGACCTGAGACGTGCTATGTTATCTTTCTCATGCCTACAATCCTCTTTAATGCCCTCCTACCTGGCATGATGGTTTTCTTGCACTCATGGCACTTGGAGGAATACTCATTGGAGTAGCACTCAGTGCAGAGGAGCTGCTCATCCTTGGTGGAGAAAGGCTTGTCCACCAGAGAGCGCTTGCACTGGAAGCACTTGAAGCACTCCTCATGCCAGTGACGGTCCTTGTAGGACAGATCCTACAGGTGCAACAGACGGATAATTAGAGCTTTGATGATAATAACACCGGTAGGCAGAGGCCGGTAGGGAGGTTGTGTAAGTGCTTGTGAGTGCTTTGTGAAATCTCTTACCCTGGTGTTGCAGCCAATGGGCTTCTTGCACTCCTCGCAGGTGTTGGAGTACAGGCTCTCGTAACATTTCACACAGTAGGGATTCTCCTCTCTCAGGACGTACTTCTTCCCAAACAGGGACTCCTTACAGTAGTGACAGTCATAGCGCTCAGTCATCTTGACCCTGGGTCACGTACCTGGAAAAATGACTCCAAGAATGAGACAGAAATTTCCAGAAGCTGTGATTCTCATCCTGGGACCTCATCTATGTAAAGCTTTGAATACAGCACTGTCTCTTTGAAGTACAACTCATCTGAGACCATCCATATGTTAGGGATCATAATTTCCAAACAATAAATGTTTTCCAGGACGTATTTAGTATCAAGCTTCTCCACTTCTCATCTTATTCTGTGTCACATTTCCCCCCTTTCATCTCTCTCCCATCTCCCCCGCAGACCCTCATTTTGTTCTGGATGTCAGGAGTGGAAGGTGACAGATGAGGAGGTTATAAATAACTCCTATCAGTCCTGCTTAGAGACAGTCAACTCTTGCCCTGTTGCATACCACCGCCCAACACGCCACTGTACAGTGACCGATCCATCACCTCACCTCCAGCTGTCAGCACCAGATCACTGTATTCCTTGTCATTTTGTGTGTGTGTACATAAGTAAGTGCGTGTGTCAGCGTTTAAGTGGTTTCAAAAGGCACTTGTAATAATGGCTACTCTGGATCTGCAGCTGTTTGTGGCCCGCCTGTTGAGCCCTCTGGTTATCCCACCTACGCACAAATGCTCTACTCTTCTCCAAAGAGTAGAATGGGCTGAACCTTATTCTGCGTGTATTTTTTTTAAATCTGTTTGTGAATGGTATACAATAAAGATGGATAAAATGAGTGGCTCTGTGTCCCACATGCACACAAATTTCATTATTTAAGGGACTGGATGACCGGATTCTTCAGCAAAGCTTTGACCAGATAAGGCAGCAACAAAATAGTTACTGAAACCCTCAAATCTAATTTCCTCTTTCACATTCCTGCTCCGACTTTGTCCATTCATCAAAATCCTTCATTTTTCTTGCGTTGCTGTTTGTAATCTGACTGCTCTTCTCCGTGATAACTCCGAACTTTTAAACAGAACATCTCCACTTTGATCTATTTGTGATCCCTGTGTTTTTCCACCTCACCGGCTTTCTCACTGATTTGTGATGCGTCCGACATTTAACTGCTATCTTTTATCTAGCTGAAGTTGAGACGTTTAATCTGCCCGTCCTTTCTGCTCACAGTTATTTTCAACCCCTCCCACATTCCCTCATTGTCTGCTGCTCCCAACATGACTCACCTAGCTTATATAAGGACTTATCTGACTCCTAAAAATAAAAAAGGGATAATCTCAACTGCCATGAATATAACCTTGAGCTGTTCAAATATGTCAGGCAGCTGTTTCCCAGCTCCTGGGGTCTCTTTGATGCTGCTCATCTGGGGGGTCTTTCGATTAAACCACTTTATGCCAAACCGAAGCTAAAGGCCGAGTGTCACATCACTTTGCAGATGGGTGTATCTCCATAAAGTCCCAGTGCTTAAGGGTGCTATTTTCGTCCAGACAATCAACTCTGTACAACTTTCTTAGAATTGCATGAAAATTAAGCCTTAAAAGTAGAAATGTACCTCTATCATCTCATGAATTTAAGCATTTCATATCCTATAACTGAAGTTTTCCTTCTTTATTTTCAAATGTTCAAAGGATGCATGAGACTCTTTTTTAAACATCTCAAATGCAAAGCCATTAGTCAGTGATTTCTCTAACAATGAGCTGCATGTGTTTCCACTCAAAGCAACAAAACTGCAAAAGTTTCTGCTCACTTGAACAAGAAGGTTTAACAGCTACTGACATTAGCCTTGTGAGTGGATAATAGAGTAACAAATTCAATAGAATTTAGCTGTAAACTGATCAAGTTATGGCTCACATGTGGAGTGAATGCTCTACAAATAAAAGTTTCAAATTATCTTACCCCTTGGACTATAAATGGTAAAATCACAAGCGACTGCTTATTAGCTTTTCTCCTTTACTCAGTCAAAATCTGTGCAGAACTCAATCTAATCTCTCAGTTTTATGAACAGACACTTTCTGCACACCTCAAAATTTCTACTTTGAGGTTTGTGCAGGATGCATCTCATTATTTCTGGTGCAGGAAATGCTGTAAAGGCAAAAAAGCTGAAAAACATCTGCCTAAAACCATATAAGTTGACACCTTTTAGCTGAATGGAGGAGTGAGATGAGAGGAGAGATGGGTGGAAATGAGCTCTGCACACAGGGTTTTTGGGACAAAAAGATCCAAAAAAGGAATTTCAGAAAAAAGGGGTCAGGATGTGTCTGAGACAGACACACAGAAGGTGGGAGAGAGAAGACATGGTTAAATGGTGAAGGTGCTGTGCAGAGGGAGAACATGAGCAGGTGGGAGGGGAGGCAGCGGGGAGGATGCCAGAGCAGCTGTGTCCTGAAGGACGGAAGACAGGGTGGATGAAGACCAGTGAGAGAGGATGAATGGGTGGAAAGATGGACGGGTGGATGGATGGATAGTGGAGCGGTTGAACAGAGTTGAGTCTTACCTTCCTGTCTGAGGAGTGTGTGCCTGTGCGGAGTCTGTGGCAGACTGAGAGAGGAGGCTGTGGGTGAGCTGTAGTAACTCCTGATTGCATTTTACTCCACCCATGAGGGGCTAATTGAAAAAAGGGGAGGGGTGGCTGAGCAGGGGGCAGGGAGTCTTTTTTGAGATGATCTATAAATACAGCGGTGCTTCACAGAGATAACCCCGAGGCCCCCTTTCACTTGTAGTCACCAACGAAACAGCGTGGCCTTTTAAGGTCACTCAGTTGTTCGCACTCTTTCATATTCACTCGGTTATTCACTTTTTTAACCATGAACTTCTATTTCACTTTATTTGTCGAACATTTTTGTTTCCCTCCTCCACAACAGCCTTATCATGTCATCACTCCTTATCTTGTTTTCTTGGAAAAAGAAAGTTATTTTCCTCAAATTCTGTTTCCTTTACAACAGCGATAAACATGATTTATTGTAACCAAAATATTGCACAAACACACAAATATGCACATTGTTATATAACACAACCACCTTCCAAGTCTTTGACACGTGATGGAAAGGATGCAACGGGTCAAACGTCAAAGATTGTTGTCCTGTGAGATTAGGTCCGACTCAAATGTCTCATCTGTCTCTACCTTCCTATATTCCTCCTCACAGGGGAAAACGCGCTCAATCCCAAACATCCGACGCTGTTGGGTACAGCATCCAGGCCTGCTGATGACAGACACCTGCATGGTTTCTACGAAAATTGCAGCACTATTTCCCGCAACCTCAAACACTTGTTCACACAGCCACACACATCCCCTTCCCTCCTCTCGGTTTGTCTTTCATCCCTGGTCTTCCCCTCCTCTTTTTTCCTCCCTGTGTGGCAGGTTTTCCCGACCTTGGGGTCCCTGGACTCTGTCCAGTAAGAATATGCGTCACTACAGTTAAGTGCCCTATTTGTAGACCACCAGGGAGAGATTGTAGCTTCACAAAGTGTTATATAGTTAGCCTATGGCCTGTGTCTATTTGTATGCACATGTATATATTTATGTGTTGGTCTTAATGTGCCTAAAACCAGCTGGTCTAAAACTAAAGACCAGATCAAAGCATCAAAACAAGTTTTATATTGATAGATTTAAATTTGGATTGTAGCTGACAACATATTTATTCAGTCCTGATGAATCATACTCTCTTTTTTTGATTCCCTGACTGCTTTGAATTTCTTGGCAGGAGTAAAATGTCAGAACAAAAATTTAGACAAATTGGTTTCGTAAAGTAATGATCATCCCGGGAGTTACTTCTGAATTCTTTGTTTTAGTGCTACAGAGAATCAGCTGTAAAAACTGTGTCATTTTTCATCCTTTCCATAAAAATACTGTCAGTGTGGGCATGATGGTATTCCAACATACTAAATTTAGATTGAGAGGGTGATATTTTACGTACAGTATTAATGAATTAAAACTATCATTGTTAGCATATTAACACACTTGAATAAAATGGAGAACTTAGCATGTTACCTTTAAAACCTTTGCGTGATAAAGTTTTGTTATTGTCAGCATAATAACCTACTTAAATAAGATTAAAAAAACAGTTTTTAACTGAACCGATTAACACAGCAAGCGAGCGGACAATTTCACACTTGGTGTGAACACAATATATGACAACTGGCACCGTCTTGATATAGGGGTGAGCAATGCACTGTTTATTGTCTAACATAATACCTTGTTGCAAAATGACAATATTAATAATCCCATGTCAATCAGAGTCCACACATATTCACTTGATCAAGTTAAGTAGGCCAGACTGCTGCCCATGCCCCATGAGAACATATTATAACAGGCTACGCTAACATATCTGCCTGCATGACTGAAACAGCACAAGTCAGTGGTCAACCATAACCAAGCAGCTAAGGTACTGTCCGAACCAAAACACACTCAGCAAACTTTGGCAGGATCACATGGATGTTTTCATTCTTTTTGGACCAGTTTTACTTGAATGACTTAGTTTGAAGTTATTAAATAAGACTTTTCCCCTTAAAGCTTCTGTGAAGAACTTTTAGGTTATGTCAATTTTGGCGCCCCCTGTGGACAAAACACAGTCGTTCTCAACATGTTTGAGTTTTAGACAAAAAAAAATCACCCTGCTGATTTCCGATGGTCAAATGTATCATTGATTAGAGAATTAGGGCACACTGATGGTCTTGAATTTAGGCTTTTTCAATAACACCAGAAGAGTCTACACAGAAGCTTTAAATTCATGATTCATGGTATTATTAGTTATTGATATTGGCAAAATCTTCCAAAACAACAAGACATATTTCCTTTCTCAATTTTCCACCTCCATCTTTATACAACTGTGTATATGTCCTACAGTTTTTTTAAATGTCGTAATAAGGCTAACACAGACTCTTAAGTTTTGGTAAAATTCAGGTAATAACTTGCTGTTATTGAGGCCACCCTAATGCTGCGTTTGAGTTACCTCGGAAGTCAGATGTCAGAGGTGAAATGACGTCACACCCGAGTTATTTTGGCGCTTGCCTTGTCCGAATATAATAAGGACAAGGCAAGCGCTAAAATAACTTGCGTAGATGTGGCCATCTTGTTTCTGCCTCCGATTTTGCTTTTTCTTCGACTTGGTAACTGAAACACTGGCAACTCGTGTGTATCGTCATTTTCAGCCCCGACATCTGACTTCCGCGGAACCTCGAACGCAGCATAAACACTTGAAACAGGATGAAGGGAAAATCAGCATGCCGTGTTGTTGAGAAAACAAGACAGAATTTAAGTCAGATGATAGTTTGTCAGACAGAAAAAACAAGAATAATACATTGTATGTTACCGGATGAGGACTTGAAAGAGTCATAATTTGATTACTCCTGCGAAAGAAAATAAAGTCATTCTTAATACACGCTGACAAAGGCTTTAGATAAGTTCCCAAATCCTTTCGAAAATGTGTATCATGTTCACTTCATTTCAGATGTGGTCTAATGAGTATCTCAAGGGGAAAATATATCTCTTTGCTCAACTGAAACATTACCCAGGACTGCCCTGGTGTGCCCTCAGACTTTGCCCCCTCTTAGCCTTTGCTTCTTGCCTGTGTTCAGCTGGCACAAAGTCAGGTCTCCCCCTTTCTGAGCGGCAGTTCCAGGCCCCCTACTCAGCTGCAAAGGCCGGGGGGATAAAGTTGCAGCTGTCTGGGCACTGTGAAGCTATCGTGCAGCTAAAGCCCAGTGCTTACTGCTGCTGCAAATACAGCCATGAGAAAAGGTCAAGCCAGGCAGACCCCATCATCGCCAATGGCCTGTTAATCATTAATGCAACAGCAACCAATTGGACTGGAATTTCTTAGGGTCATCCAAGATCCAATATGATCCTCTGGAAGAACTTCACTCCACTGTGAGCTGTCAAACTGTGAAATGGACTCCAGCAACTGAGAACGTGCAACGTCATAATGAACGTCTCAGATGGGCAATTAGAACTAATGAAGAGGGACGGAATCATTTTGGACTCCCATTGTGGTGATAAGGTTTCTGGAAGCTTAGCAAGTATGCAACAGCAATTTATTTGGGACCACCATAGTCATAATTTAATGTTGAAAACTTAATGTATACAAGAGATTTGGAGACATATTGTCATTTGTTTTCTGCTGAGAGTTATATGAGAAAATAGTGATCACACCAGTAGTTTGTATCACTGTTCAGTGTAAAGTTACGGCTAGCAACCAGTTAGCTAAACATAGCACAAGGGCAGGGTGGAACAGGATGCATGAGTAGGCTGTGGAGCTAACTTGACTGATGAACGATAAGGGCTAATGTGAGACCCACAGCAGGTATCGCTCAAAGCCAAGAAATAATTACAGCAATACGAGCACTGCAAGGAAAACAGATAGCTTTTCTGCAGAGCCAAGCTAAGAAGCTGCTCTTGCTAAGCTAAGCTAACAAGCTGCAGTCCGTATATCAGGGTATTTGGAGAAACCAGGGTGGTAAAAGAGGGTGATACGTTTTAAGTGATGAACCTGTACCGGACAATTGACTACTTACATAAGACTCCTGTATTGACATTTTTGATATCTAACCTTGGTGCGACGTGGTAGGTGTCAGCCAAGCAGCTGAAGAAACAGCCCTGATTTTAAAATTTCCACTTAAAATATTCCCTATAAATGATTCATCTGACTTTAAAAGGTCAGAAGGATGAGATTTATGTTAAAAGCGTATGAAAGACAAAATAAGCAAAGACTGTTTTGTCCATCGGGGGGTGCCAAATCTTCCTCTGAGGAGCTTGAACTTATTTAAATTGTTATTAAAAGGGACATCTTGTTTGGAACAAGAGTTAACCTATTGGAAACACAGAAACAAGGCCATAATATTTTCTCAAGCACTTGGAACATAGATGACCTTTGTCCATCTGCCAACATCAAATATTATTGTGCATAAATAGAATTAAGCCCCAAACGGATTAAAATTCAACATTTCCCAGAGCTCTTTATCAAAATTTCATTCCAAGAATTTAGAGAAGGTCCATTTTTCCGAATTTCAACTTGTGAATCACATTATGAAAATAAACGATGATAGCATGTGACTTTTGCGTGTTCCTGTATGGTTTTTATGTGTTTTCTGGATATTCTATTACAATGTCATGTGCTCAATGTAAGAAAAAACGTTCAAAATTTTGCAAAAGTTATCCAAACAGAGATTGAACCTACAGTGGAATCAAGGTGAAGCTAGAAGATACATACACATTTATGAAACTACAGGATTATCTTTTTTTTCTCAGCGCTGGTACACCTGTCTTCTCAACACATTTCAGAAGGCCGTGTTTCTTTGTCCTCTGATGTTCAATTTATGACCATGATTAAAAGCCTCCTGTGCTCATTTTCACTCGAACTTCTCTTGGTGCCGTAGCAGTGATGTGGCTCGCTATATATGACACAGCAAATCTTTAGTCATTCAGCATGGTGTTGGGTTCCCAGACCACTAAATCCCTGCTGGGATTGGTGGGATGTTTCAGCCCGAGCAGACACTTTATTTAGATGCTCATATTTGTCTTTACTCTTTGTTCTTTTTGTCTTTAGCACGTGAAGTCATGCCAGCCCATCCACACCATCACATGAGGAGGTGGTGTAATCTGCTTCTCCTACAGAGCCATGTGGAGATGATGTTCCACCTATCAACATTCTTTGAATAATGAAGAAGGACATTTTGAAGATCATTTTAATTTAACTTTTTTATGA